AAGAATCAACGAATACTTGAATTAAAAGAAAGAATTTAAATTAAACACAAAACCTCACGATGACACAATTGAATCGAAAATCCCCCTTGAATCAGAAAAGAAAAGCTTAGCCGCTCATGGTTGTCGACTCCTTCTTGCTCTGCTTCCCAGATGGATGGACTGATCCTCTGAATTGATTGAGTGCTTCAGTGATTGAGTGATGCCTAAATCCGGTTCCCCCCCCCCCCCCCCTTTTCATTTCTTGTATGTATCTTTTTCATAACATATCCATTGATATGCCACCAATACACCTATTATGCCTTCGATATAAGCCAATACAGGTACAATATGGTGGAAAAAAATGATATGACCTATTTTCCATTGTATATCATATCAGTTTCAAGATACGATATGATCACTCGGTATTAGGTGTATCATGTCAAAATTTTGAACCTTGTTAGGAATCCTACACACATTGTGCATAAAACATCTAGTCAATATATTGGGAATATCTCCCATACATGTATGTTAAAATTTTCCAATGTGCAATTGGATACCCATGCTTTGAAAGTGTGCAAAGTTTTTTTCTTGCAAGAAATCCTACTGCTGATTTTGGTTATGCATTTATCATTGTATTTTAATCCACACTTATTGAGGCAATGTTCAACAATGTGATTCATATGAGGTGTAGTGTATTTGAACTTATAGTCTCAATGTGGTGCCATTTGAAATAGATATGTCATTAGTAGAGTTTTAAATAAAATATTTTGGTCATTTATTACATTAAATATATTGATCATTCAATCTACCCAAGAAAATTACAATATATTTTGATGTAGAGGAAAAAGCATAAATTTTGTATTTCAAAACCATTCACAACTGATTTCAAAACCCACCAACCCCTAAATGAATGTTTATTGGGTATAGCATATTTCAAAACCAAGTGATCCATAGAATATCCACATTAATGAACACCACTTGAAGCATTAATTAATTTTTCATTATTGGACAATTGGCAGGTGTCATTGATCATTTCATCATTTTGATTGCATTAGAGTAGACTTGGTCTTAACCCAAACGCCATGGGTCTATAATTATTAGAACTAAAAATGGACCACGTTATTAATTGAGCTTATGGATTTGACCTAATAAGGCCAAGGGATTATTTGACAAGTCTTTAAAGACTAGACTGTTTGATTTGCATTGTAGTCTACTTTCGGGTTGTTAAAAACAATTGGGAAGGTTATTTTCAGCATGGAAAGACCAAAAACTTCATTTGAAGCTTCTCGATTTTTAGGTTTTTTTTTTTTTTGTTCTTTCCATGTGTTTGTCTTCGGGTCTTTTGGTCTATGTGATATCAAATAAGAATAAACCTTTTTTAAGCTTCCTGCAAACCAAAAGGCACATAAAAAAGATGCACCAAAACACTATTCAAATTATTCTTGGCAACTTTTGG